CTGCTGCTACTGGTACTGCCACTGCTGCTGCTGCTACTATCACGGTAAAAATCCCCAGGACAGAAGCAGTCTCAAGCACGCTAGCCAGAGCCAGAGCTACTCGCAGCAGGAAGACTATCAGTGACTTCAATCAAAGCAGCTGTGCGAGCAAAGAAGGGCTTCACAGTGCAAACAGTGACACTGGTAACAACACTAGAAGCAAGAGTCGTTCGCGACTCATTACCGGTCTCTCTCCTGTGCTGGTAAAGATATGCAGAACTCTGTGCACATTGCAGTTTCAGAAGCTTCGTTGGTTCGTTTCTGACAGTGGGTTGTCTCCGAATACATCCATGTTCAGGGATTCGGCTTCATCAAGCCGGACGACATGCCGGAGGATGCCTTCTACCTGAGGCCAATGGCACTGGGACTACCGAAGTTGCTGTTTTCTGCGAGCCATGTATAGCTGCAACCAAGTTTGGCCAAGCCTTCTGCATCATTCATGCCAGGAGTGAGCTGCCGCCGGAGCTGGCAGGCGGCGAACCCCGGCGTGAGCAGGTGTGCACCGGTAGAAAGCCGGAGTGGGAGCAGTGCTGAGCAAGCGGGAAGCTGAGAGCAGAGGTCGTGGATAAGCGGGTCGAGTTCGAGGCCCCAAATGGTCGGAGCTAAGACTCTCCCTTTGCCTTCCCGGCCTTGCCTTCCGCTGCTTTTTGCAGGTTCGGGTGATGCCAGATGGCAAGCTCCGAGCGGAGAGAATCGTCTTCCTGCGGGGCGGGGGGCCACCGGGCCCACCACCGGCTCCCATGGCTCCCATGGCTCCCATGGCTCCCATGGCTCCGCTTCCAGGCGCTTCGGCTCCCAGCTTCCTTTCTTTGGCCCTTGCCCAACCGGCTTTCCGTGCTCCTCGCTTTTCAGGACCATTTCGAGAAGGCCGAATTCGGAACTTCTACCCATCCAAGGCGTTCACGCTCCTGCGACGACACACGCATAGGGTTCTTTGCATCGACTGTCCCTGGCAATTTAAAAGGCACGTGGGCTTTTCAAGGTCTCGGTTAGTATTCACTTCTCATGTTCTAACCAGCTGCTTTCGCGCTGCCGTGAGGGCTACGGCTTCATCGAAGTGCCGATGGGTCCAGACGTCTTTTTCCTGCCTAGTGCTTTGCCAAAGGACCGGGGAGCAGTCCAGCTACAGAAGACCGTGATCGTGCCTTCACTGTAGGACCTCTTGGACTCAAGGCAGCCGTTGGAAGGCCTCGAAATTTCCTTTGAGCCGAGCACGAGCGAGGCGGGCGCTCGGCAGATCTCTGTAAGAGGCTGAAGAGATGCCTCGCCTCGCGGATGGCTTCGCCTCTTCTCAGGAAGGCAAGCCGAGGGCCAGGAACATCCGGCCGTCCGAGTCTCAGCACGGAAGATGTTTCGCACTGGGCCGAACAGAAACTTTTACTTTGTGACGGCGGGTGATCCTTCCCAAATTCCTCAGACCAAAAGATGGAGGCCCCGGATTTGAAGCCTTTCATCTAACGAGGATTGGGCAGCGCGGGGGCCCACCGAGTCAGAGGCCGGGTTAGGATGGGGATTAGGCGACGGGACCCCCAAAACTCCTAAAAAATCCTAATCCCTAAGACCATCGACCCCTACACCCGAAACCCTAAACGACTAAACCTTACAACCTAAATCCCTGCAAAACCCTAAGCCCTACTGTAAACCCTAAAACCCGTAAACCTGTAGGATGCGTAGGATGTCTGGTGTAAAGCTGCGAGACTCCTTTCTGTCAGGCCACCCCCTCGAATGCCGTGGCGGGCTCAATCATGGCCCACGGCACTCGCATCCTATTCGTCTTACGTTATCCTCCTTATCATTGCCATCCTCATTCATTGTACTATTGCAACTATTACTATTGTTCTCAGTCGCAGTCTTACTCTGCTTTTTGTCTGCTTCCTATGGTAATTCCTCTTACTATCATGAGGGGCCCTCGACACACCTCAGGATCCCGGCCCCACCCGCCATGGCCCGGGCCTTGGCCTTCAGAATCCACTGTGAGGGTCCAGGGTTTAGGGTTTGGGGTTTCGAGGTTTTAGGGTGTTAAGGTGTTAGGGTTTCAAGGTATTTAGGGTTCATGGTCCCCTGGCCTGTTCCAAAACTGCGATGCGGTTCTCGCAGCATTTTTTTATTCGAATCCCGCCCTTAGCCAGTGCTTGCACTGGAAGTTCGGCCGGATTCTCAGTGGGCAACCTGTGTTGAGAAGTTCAGATCCGAAGACTTCTGTGTTGAGCGAGGCTCGAAGTTTATGGCGCCGGCACCCACATCTCCCATCACAAGGGTGCTTCGGATATCCAAGCTTATGTTGAAGTTCTGAAGGGCTCTTTAGGCGAAGCATCGGCCAGCCAAGAGCTGCTGTCAGGTGCCCCAGTAACGGAATGATGATTCCCTGCGAAGACTGTCGATCCCAAGGCCAGTGTCGACACGATCATCTTCGTGGATGTTGACGGTGTGCTCAATGCGACCTGAATCAAAGATCGCAATTTTCACCTGCCTGGCTGGCTTGCCGTTCGACTGCGCAGGGCTTGCAGTGTTGTTTCAAGATGTCTCAGAGTCGGTGCATGAGGTTGGAATCCAAGACGACGACAAACCTCCTCTGCTTTTCCGTGATGTGCCTTGTTTGCGGGTTGGGGTTGGTCACATGGTATCTTGAGATATCTTGAGTGCATCCGGATCCACAGAAATGGTGTCTCCGGCAAATGCTTTGCTGCTCGAGCATGAGCGAAGGAGGATGTCTACACTGCGCTGCGGCTCGCCAAAAAGGGCTACAACGGCCCCGAGGCTTCTTCTGTCAGTGGGGTCGTTTGCAGTTCATCTTGCTTCACCCGCTTTATTCCCCTTCCACATGTTGCAGGCAAGCTGCGTGGAGAAGCTAAGCGCCCTAGCCGAACACCAGGCCGGGGTATGGAAGCGTTCTTGCCCAGGCTTGAGACAAAAGCCGCGAAACTTAATGGCCTCTATTCGTGTGAAGAGCATATTCAACAGAGCAAACAGGTTGGATTCAAGGAGAATGGCACCTACGATACTCGGACTCAAGATTGACTCCCATACGTGCATGGGAGGGTGGGATGCTCTTGTGACTTATGATTCAGTTCATATCACCGACTCTGACATCATCTGTGGAGGTCCGTGTAGTTCTCATGTGGAGGTAGGCCGTCAGCAGTCTTCAATCATGTTACAATTAGAGTCAGTCACGGAGACGTGAGCCCTTGCTAAGGACAAGCTGATGACCCGTAACGGTGCTGAGGCTGCGGCATCCGGCACTACTGTCAGTAAGTCCAGAAACCATGCTCTTCCCACATCTTTGTAAGCATCCCGTTCAGTTGACCGATCTTCTGGTCCAGCGACTGGCAAAGCTCATCGCGCCTTTGGCAGCTTTGTGCTGTAGGGTTCTTGCTGTGTCTTTTGACTGATTTGGGTACCGCTAGATTCGAGATGCCAAGCGGTGTTTACATGTTGGTTCAGTGGAAGCATGTGTGCTGTCACCTTCAAGTGGCGTGCGACGCTTCCTGGGTCGAGGGTTCAGCGCAGAACTCCGTTCCAAGGCGCTGGCGGGCCCAAACGCCAAGGTACGCGGGCTGCTTTGCAGTCCGGCACGTGTGTTCTGAAGCTCTCAGCATGCTTCTTGCTTGTCTGAGCTTAGCGTTGGAGGTCGTGCTCTCGTCAAGCTGGCGCAGGCCTGGACTTGCTGCAGTCGATTCCTTGCTCCACTTCCGCTTCCTCCCTCCCTTCCTTCCTGTCCTCCCCTTCCTTCCTTCCTCTCCGTCTTCCCCTTCCTTCACTTCTTCCCTCCCCTAGTCCTGCTTCCTCTTTCTTCCCTTACTCTGTTTTGTCTTACGCCACCTATCCTGACCCGCGAGCTATGCTTGTTTCAGGGTTCGTCTGTGGGTTTCGGACTTGGGGGGGTGGTGGGTGGGGGGTAATGACGTTCGGTGTGCGCAACTCCTTGCATGTGGTCTTCTTCATGGTGATGGTCATGTTGTCTTCATGAAAGTGCCATGCTCCCTGTGTTGGCTCGATTCCCATGTAAATGCGCAAAGCCGACATGCCGATTCCATGGGTATTTACGGTGTTTCCTCTGCTTCATGTGCCGAATATATCGGCCCGCTGGTGTTCCCAACGCCTCCAAATTAAAGGTTTCCTCAGTGGCAAAACTTATGGTGTTGACTGTGCTTTGGTTGCCGTTCCTAGAGCATCCATGCCCGAACCATGTCATCGTCCGCACTGCAACAACGTCCGCTCCGACCCCATGCGATTGCCATATGCCATAGAGCACCTATGCCCCAACCGCAATAATGAACTTGAAGAAATCGCATTTTGCCTGGAGCAAACAATTTTTCACAACAAAAACACACGTGTCAGAGCGCGTGACCGCAAAGGCGGCGTTACCTTGTTTTTCCCTCTGCTTCCTGGGAAGGCCGCACCACCGAACCCGCCGCCGACAGCTGGAGGAGTCCCTGGCACAGCACCTGGGCAAATCGTTGCTTGGTTGAAGCGGAGCTCGTGGGGTGCATGAGCAGTGAACTGCAGGAGACTGCATGCGCATCACATCGCATCACTGCCATAGACTGCCATGATGCTTGCATGCGTGGAGAGGGATCCATGCGGACCTGCCGACAGGCAGCCAGTGGGGCTTCAGCTTGGGAAATCTGATTCTTGTGATAGATCACGGCACCCGACAGGACTCACAGTGGATCTGTCTGTGGTCGATGTGTCTCGGTGTTGTCTCGAGTCGGACACAGGTTCCGCTTCCATTCCGTCACGGCTCTGTACCGCGAGGCCCCTTCGCCGTTGCGTCCTTCGCTTTGCTGCCTCCTTTAGATGAGAAGTTCGAACGACGTGTCTTCTGTTGCCTCGTAGGAAAAGACGGCGGCTGATCGCCTGGAGACTGTTGGCGACTACCTCGCCGAATTCTGAACCTCGTCCAGCTATGGCATGCGGTGTTCCTGCTGAAGTCGTTGTGTTTCTTTGCTGCTTCGTTGCGTGCCCACTGAGTGTACCAGTGAGGCCATCGCCGCGATGATGTGACTAGCTTGCGAGTTGTGATGCTGGAGGCCCGAGACAGTGGGACAGCCAAGCTTCGTAGGGCTTCGCAGATAGCCTGACATAAGGCGGGCTCAAGCACAGATCTGCGATAACACCCCACTTCCTGCGCTGGTGACGCCTATTCGGACTGCTGCCTGTTTCGTGGGCATGCAGCTATGTGGAGATTCCATATCCCGACAGCGGAAAGACATCCTATATCATCCCACGAACCATGGAGCTTTGGGACTTGTACAACACGACCAAATACAGCATTGAAGCATTCCCAAGAGGCGGTGGGAACAAATACGGCTGGGTTGCGCCAATGAACATCTTGCGTGAATGAGGCAGGTTTGACAGTCTCGGCACTCTATCTGGCACAGTCGGTCTATGAGGAGCCGCAACCAGGAAAGCATGCGATCAGCGCCCTAGAGTTCGTCGCTGCAGTCCTGGCAAACTACTCCTCCGTCGATGAAGTCTTGACAATGCTTGAAGCAGTGAGTGTCCTGACTCCTTTCGTGCCGGGTGTTCCGGCGGAGGTGCTCCAGACAACTACCTTGCATGGGGCGATCCATGACGAAGCGAGCTGGCCGTTCAATCATTGTGGAATCCATCCAGAGCAAGCGGATGCTTCGTCCAAGAGTCACGACCAACGGCCCAGACATCCAATGGCACTGGAGGAACTTGAACACGTGTGTGCACTTCATGCTGCAGGTCAAGACAAACGACGCGTTGGGCACCGTCCCGCGTCCGATCGGCCACGCCTGGAGCCTTTTCGGTCTGCCCGGAGACACCGCGTCACCGAACCTCCATGGAAGCAAGCCCCATCAAGAACTTCGAGGATGCTGCGGTTTTAGGAACTTCGCTTCTCAAGAACGTCTTTATCCCCTACGGTCTACGGTCCAGTCGCTTTTGGATCCCAGAGCTGAGCCCAGCGACGATGCTGTCCTGATAGCTCCGAATGAGAAGGTATACATGGTCCGAGGCTATCGCAACACGCAGTGGCGGAAAATTGACCTCAAGAGGCTGGACTTAGGCACCACGTGACCGCTTGAAGACGGGCCGCTGGGATCGTGGACATCACCGATGCAGGCGACAGTGGCACTCCCAAGGAGGTGTGTGAGCAGATGCTTCCGGATATCAGTTGTCCCTTCTGAAGTCTTTTGAAGCAAGTTGCACGATGTCAATGCAGCGAGCTCGTTGGCAGCCTCGCCCCCGTTGCCTCGACCTACGTGGGCTTAGGACTCTGCTTCTTTTTGTACAGTTGCCAAACTCGGCCGGCTAGGCTAAGCGCAAAATGGGACATATGGTCAGAAGCAGAGCAGCACCGATGATCCTCCGATATGTGGGACACAGACAAATGGCCTTCAAACCATACACGCCTTCTTGCTGACAGGATTTCTTCATCACGCCACTGGACGGCCTCCCGACGGAATCAGACCACTGCTGGTCATTTTGTTTTTTGTGCATGAGATCTTGAGGTAACTGTCTCACCCGAAACCCTAAACCCTAAACTCTTGTAGTATCCTAGTCGGTCCCTGAGAGGATGGAAGCTCAAAGGCCGGGCCATCAAGAACCCGAGCGACGCTGATCCGCGGCTGCATCGGCTGTACCGTACTTGTACTTCTGTGAAGGAGAACTCTTCTTTCGTTCGGGGATGCTTTGCCTGTTCAAGAGTAACTTGGCTAGAGCACGAGAACGAATGCCAGGAAGTCAAAAGCGGTTTGTACTTGTAGATCTGAACCCTCGGCGTGATCCCGACATCTTGAATTTCGTGTCCGTGACCAAAAGGCAAAAACCGTCGTATACATGGCTTATCTGTGGCGTTCCTTCATGTTCAGCGGCATAGCAGACGCGTGTGCGAGCGGCTTTGCTATCTTAGGAACGCTACCTGGACAGCCGTGCCCGCAGCATGTCACCAGCTCTGAGCGTCCAGTCGAAGCTCTG